TGCCTCTCACATGTTGACCCGATATTCATCAGCAATCTTCTCCTTAAACGCTTTAGCACTTTTCTCATCAAGCTTTACACGACAAACCGCAGCGCAGATCTGCGATTCCCTCATTTTAAACTGCAACCAACAGATCTAATCAACTTCCATAGTTCATAGAAAGAATCAAGATACATAAAGAAGTGATTTATGTAAGAAGAAGATACCACAAAGGGAGAGTTCTCAATTCGATCACCACGTAGAACTTCACCGAGATTCTCTGCACTGTCAACTATATGTTCTGGACGGCAATAAGGAAGAGAATAATAGGAATATGGAAGTTGAGTCTTTGTAGATGTCAGTTTATTGACTTTCACCATCAATGCATCTCCCTGCAAAACCATAAATCCAACTTTTTATTTCTACAGGAGCTAGATTCACGAACCAACAACTTCAGATCAAAATCGCCCAAATCTCATAAAACGAAAGTAGAAAACAGAGAAACAACACGACGTAGATCCGATTTCTGCAATTTTCTCCTGATCAAACGAGAAATTGCATCGGATCTACATCAAAAACGAAGCAACTATTCGCTTAAAACAAACCCCAATGTGAATCAAAACCCTAATAAACCTCCATTTGTGAATACACAAGACACATACTGATACAGAGGCGATTTAGTAACTCACCATTTGGAAATCTCGAGGAGCGACGCCGGGAAGGTAAAAGCCATGGACATGGATATGGAGAAAGAAGAGGACAACACAAGCGAAGATCGATATTCGTATTCCGATCGCCATTGATGAGCTCGATCTCTTCTTCTCCTTCGTCGTCTTCGTAGAAATGGGAAGTAGAGTGAATGAATTTCTTAAATGAAGGAAGGCTTCATGGCAATTGGACGATTTATGGCCGTTGGATCTCTAAGAAACTCGATAGATCTAATCAACGGTTGAGATTTCCTCATATGGAGCTGTCGGTGATTTCTTCTTCCATCAGTGCAATCAAATGGAGTACATCAAAGTCAACACTTTTAAAGAGGTAATTTTTTTTTCTTCTTTTTGATGGAAACTCGTAAAGTTTTACGTAACTTGTTCATTCAAATATCAAAGTCAAATTATAATGAATCTAAGTAGGTTAGGTGAAACTTGTTAACGTAGCAAAGTAGAAATGAGTTAGTGTGGAGAATACGAATAATTATGAAAAAGTATTTTT